GATCGTGTGCACCTAGTGTGCTTGAGTCTAATTATTATGCATTTGGTGTTGTGTATATCATGATGTTTGGTGGGATGAATCTTTGCTCAGGAGGAGTGTATGTGATTCATCCGTACTCCTTTGTGGAGAATGGTGGGGGATGGATCATTGCCAAGTAGAAGTGTATGTGATCTATTCGGGGTTCGATTGAATGAACCAATGAGTCGGTACCGCATGCATGGGTTGTGTTGCATATTTGCATTCTGATATGTTGTATTGTTGATGGGCAGTAGGCCGTGATTGGTGAGTGTTGGGTGATGAATTGTATGATGTCTACCTTTTATTTCATGTATCTTATTACTGATAATTTTGATCATGTTTTCTCACCCCTTTGTTGTTGTTGTGGTCTGTCCTTCCTCGTGAGTACAGATAACCCAGGTACTTAGCTAGCTGGATAGTGGTGTGCGAGTCGAGTCTAGGATGCTCTGATACGTAGCACGGGACTTGGGTGTTTTTATGTTATTTAGTTGAACTTGTTTATTTCCTGAGAACGTATCACATTGGTGAATTTTACTAATGACTATTTTTATGTATTTGGCGGATGGCCGTGAATGATGAATCAAAATGAATATTTTCCGCTGCTTTATTGTTAAAACCTTTTTAATGAAAAGTATGATGAACTTTGGATGTGATATCCCACTGCGGGGGGAAAACTCTGATGTTTATTTGGATTAAATTGTATTTTATTTTAATTCAGGAAAGTGGGGTGTTACACATATAATGGAAAAACTTGCAACTACGAAGCGTCTTGGTGATCATATCAACAACATTATGATCTATCAAAAACTTCAACACTTGGACTTCTCCATGCTCGATTACCCCTCTAACAAAATGCAACCTCACATCAATGTGTTTGGTTTTCTCATGATAGTTTGAATTCTTTAACATGTGTATTTCACTTTGACTATCACATTTAATAGTGAAAACTTGACCTTAAAGTTTCAGCTCTTTTGCAAAACCTTCAAGCTACAATTCTTCTTTCACAGCTTCAGTTACGGTGATATATTCCACTTCACTAGTTGATAAGGCAACAACCTTTTGAAGTGTTGCTTTCCAATTGATTGTTGTGCCAAACTTAGTGAACACATATCTAGAAATAGATTTTCTGGAATACATACAACCTGCATAATCAGAGTCGACATATCCTTCGATAGTTGCTTTACTATCTTCACCCAAGGCTCCGCCATAAATTAGGACTCTATTCAGAGACCACTTTATGCACCTTAGAATCCACTTAAATGCTTGCCAGTGAGCCTTTCCAAGATTCGACATGTACCTGCTTACAAGACTTACTGCATATGTTATGTCAGGTCTAGTACAAATAATATCATATATCAAAGAACCCATTATATTAGCATATGGAATGCTATTCATATAAGCTCTTTCGAAATCAGTACTGAGAGATTGATCTATACTCAGCTTGAATTGGGGGTTTATCGGAGTTACAAACAGGATTTGAATTCGACATACCAAACTTTCCAAAAATCTTCCGTAGGTATGCCTCTTGAGACAAGCATAATTTTGTCTGCTTTCTATCTCTTTAGATGTCAATCCAAAGAATCCTAAATGCAGCTCCCAGATCCTTCGTTTCGAACTCCTTATTGAGTTCATCCTTCACCCTCATTACATCTTCGACATTATTGCTTGCTATTAGAATATCATCCACATAAAGCAACAAAATAACAAATGAATTATCCGATCAAAATCTGAAGTAAACACAATGGTCGGACTGACTTCTGATGAAACTTATTTGGTGTAGAAATACTATTCGTGTGGAAATACTTTTGATGTTAATCAATTTGAAGTGTTAAGGGGAAAGCTTGAGGTTTTCCTGTCTGAAGATCTGTAACATCCTATTTGGTGTGGAAATACTATTCGTGTGAGTGCATACGTGTTCCCACCAAATACTAATGAATGGTCTACTGTGACAACTCATTTATTTTTGTGTGGTTATGTAAGGGCTTAATGACCATGACATTTTTGGCACTTTATGTGCTTGTTTGAACTTTTATATATTATGTTTTTGTCTGGTTATTTAGTTATTTTAACTACCTTTGTCATATTATGGCTAAAAAGGGGGAGTAATATAAACTTTACAAACCAATTCTGACGGTAACCACTGACTATTGCTGCTGCCATTAAGGGGGAGTGGTATATTTTTTGCTTGCTGATTGAGGGGGAGGTTGTAGTTTTTCGCTGCTTTCTAATTCTGATGGTAACCACTGACTGTTGTTGTTGCTGTTGTTTTGGCCTCAAAGTCTGCCAAAGGGGGAGATTGATGAGTCCAAACCTTTGGGGTTGACATCAATTTTGGTAAAACTAACCTATCATTAATTTTGGTAGCCCACAAACGTAGGTGTTGTTGTTCACCGAACTAGGTTAACAATTCTGTGTGTTATTTAGTTTCTGCATTTTATATTCTGCTCCTTATTGTCATTGAGTTTGGAGAAGAGATCAAGTGTCTTGATATCTCTCAAGACATCTTCGTGATCTGCTATACCTGAATTTCACCCATCAATGACTTCTCGAGACTTCTGACTATAACCTAGTCACTCAAGAAATTTAACAACTATTAAATACAATATTTGTCTTTACAATGTTACTTCTAAATAAGCAGGTACACACGATGATAATCAAAATTTACACTTAAGAATATATGAAATGAAATTATAAGTGTTTCTCTCTATTTTCTCTTTCTTGATATTGGTTTTGTTTATTGAAATTGTTTCAACATTCAAGTTCTGCATTCAAGTTCTTCCAAAAGCTATTTCACAATCGTTGTTTTCATAATTCCTTCCCTCTTTATATAAATGAAGAACAAGACACTTGAAGGATAAAATTGGAAACTTTTTCAAATCCACAACTGTAATAATAGGTATGAGGTTGTTTAAAAAATCATGGATAGTGGAGAGAAAATCTTTAATAGTCGTTGGTAGTATAGTCCTTAAGAATATAAATATATCAGTCCTTTTAATTTGACCACACATATTGTACTAGATTCTAGAATATTCATTTACTCTAGTAAAAATGAGGTTTGGTTGTATCAGAGAACATCTAGGTTGATTACTTCAAAAGCGTTGAATGAGAGATCCAGAGGTGAATTTAAGTTTATAACTTCTTCATATCATCACTTCGGTTCAGAATCTAATGGTGTCTAGAGTCTCGAGTCTGTCTCTATCTAGAGTCCATATTCTCTCTTATCTAGAGTCTAAAGTTTGTCTATCCAGATCCAAAGTCTTCCTGTCTAGAGTCTTTCTATATAGAGTCCAAAGTCTGTTTCGTTCAGCTTTATTCAACGTCTGACTTGTTCAGAGTTTGCTTTATTCAGCTTCTGACTTGTTCGGAGTTTGCTTTTTTTAGCTTCTAACTTGTTCAAAATTTTCTTTTTTTAGCTTCTAACTTGTTCAAATTGTGCTCTATTCAACATTTACATTGTTTATATTATACACACACAACAAACTATAAAAGTATAAAACCGTCCTTTGTAATTTGTTATCATCAAAACTTAAGGATAATAGATGTAGAACCAAATTTGTCCCAACATGTACTGCTGATGTAAAGAGAGCCAGGATGAACACATTAATCTATGAATATGAAATATTCAGGATGAAACATGGACAAAATATACCAGACATTCAAAAATATTTTATCTATATAATAAATCACCGGAGAACTATTGGTTATTGTTTTCAAAATGAAGTTTTAAGTCATAATGCCCTTAGTTGCTCATAACACATTTTGTATGTTTGAGTTATGAATTATGTATTCTTTATGACTGATGTATGAATAATGCATGTTTTGATATAAACATTATGTATGAATATATGACTTTTGTATGGTTTATTGTATGAAAAATGTACGATTGTGTGACTAATATATGTACAATGACTTATGTATAATACTGTTCAAGTGTTTATAATATTGTCTAGAGGTTTGTCTGAAGATTAAAATTTGGATACACCCATGGTATTACACATACACATGATATATTATAGTCTCAAGGGTTTGTCCAAATTTTGAAATCTGAATATACCCATTTGTTATCTTGTAGGTGTGTCCGAAGATTGAAATTCTTATTCACCCTATGATATATACATAAATATTCAATATTGTCTCGGATTTTATTTCAGAATATTGAAATCCAAATTTATCCATTTATTATATTATACGAAGTGCATGCAAGAAATTTTGTTCTTGAGATGTGTTAGAATTTTATAATTCAGACATACTTTTGACTTAGATGAGAGTGCGTTTCTGATAAAAACACTTGTTGAATTTTGATCTCTCTAAATTTTGATCTATGAACGGTGTAAAATGATAAAAAGACTTATTTTATATGTTAACAAAGAATAATATACTCGTGAAATGAATAATCATGTGGTTATGTTCAATTTATTTAATTTATTTGCCATATGGTTTGGTTCAATTTATTTGCCATATGATTTGGTTCGAGAATGACTTGTTTAACTAACCAACCATAATGATACATTTATCTTAACTTCATTTAGGTTATGTTCAACTGATTCAGTTAAATTTACAAATTTTTGAACAATCCTATACACAATTAGATAGGTTGGACCTTACTCACTCAAATAAATAATTTAAAATAATTTTATTTTACGAATTCTAAAACCTAGTTACAAAATGTAATAAAATAAGAAAAAGCTTCTTTCAATAATTTTTTTTTTGTCAAAATATATTTCTAAAGAATTAATGTGTATTTTTCAAATTTAAGTATATATAGAGGTGGATTAACAAACTATAAAAATAAAAGGAAAAAATGTTTTTCGAAGATATATATGGGCCTTCAAGGACTTAGCCCAATTAGCCAGGACCCATTCTCTGACCCATTTGTATATATATCACACCGATGCTACCATTTCAAAACCCTAGTGGCAGCGCATCCATTTTCATTTCTGTAGCCGCATTTTCTCTGCAAATCGCCACCAAATCCATCAACAATGGTTGCGGCAAAGAAAACCGTAAGCTATCACTCACCTCTTCTTTCTCTGCTCTAAGCATTTTATTTTGTATTACGATGAATTTGGTGTTTTCGTTTCAGATTTAGGGTTTCTAATCCCAATTATATTTAATTGATTTTTGATTGAATTTTACAGAAGAAGACTCATGAGAGTATCAACAACAGGCTCGCTCTTGTCATGAAGAGTGGCAAATATACCCTAGGTTACAAAACCGTTCTCAAGTCCCTAAGGAGTTCAAAAGGTAACTTTTTCCTTCATGTTTATTTTTGGATTTGATTTTTTATCAGTTTTTATGTTGATTTGTTAGTGGAATTAAGAGGTAGTGAATATGTTTTTGATTTGATTATTTTGTAGGAAAGTTGATTATCATTGCTAACAACTGTCCTCCTTTGAGGAAATCTGAAATTGAATACTATGCCATGTTGGCTAAGGTTGGAGTACATCACTACAACGGAAGTAAGTTGCCATTTTTCAATGTTAATGCGCATAATTAGTGATTGTTCATAGTTTTTCAGAATGCTATTTTATCATGCGAGTATGTTTTGATTGATGGTATATAATGTAATGTAGTGGACCCTAAATGAATAGACTTGTTAGGTTTAAATCCTATCTCCGTCTATTAATAAAATTGATAGTCACGTAAGAATGTAAGACTAGTATGTATAATTCAAAAGAATGAATGTGATCCATCAAACCTTGTGGGTATAGTAGTTTCTATCAACTTAGTTTTCTGGTGTCTGGTTAATGAATCATTCAATCTAATCTTTCAATGCTGTTGTAAACATTTGTTTTATTTTATAAGCTTTTGTTTTTGTTTGTTATAACTTGTAATAATCTATTAGTAGTTGCTTACTCACATGATTCTGAACTTGTAGCATTTTGTTACTCTCCCTTGTTCTACTGTTTTTTCCCTAATCAATGCATAATTATAGATATGCTACTGCATTAACCTTTGACCTGCCCTTGTTGCTCTTAGTCTTGGCAACCTTTGACCTACACTTGCTACTACTATTAGTATTGACAACCTTTGACATGCACTTGTTACTCTTAATAGTATTGATTTTAGCTGTCTAATGCATTGATGTGGTTGAATTTATTGGTTAACTCTCTATTTTGGTATTATGCACAAATATTTTTATTGATCTTTCATTGACAAATTTTACTCTTTTAATTAGACAATGTTGATTTGGGTACTGCATGTGGAAAGTACTACAGAGTGTGCTGCCTCAGCATTGTTGATCCTGGTATTTGAAGCTTTCCTTGACTATTTCGATAATATTAGCACTCGTATTCTGTAATTATTTTAAATATTCTAATTTTATTTGTTTTCTGATTTCAGGTGATTCTGACATCATTAAGTCAATTCCTGGTGACCAGTAAAGTAGTTAGACATTTCAATGGTGTTTTCTATTCTCAGCTTTCTAGACATTGTTGAAAGAATTTCTAGTTGTAAACTTTGTACAATGCTCATATTTTCTGATATTGAGATGATTTGAGCATTGAGTAATTTTGTCTATGCAATTTTTGTTTCATTGTGCTGATTTCTACTATAGATAACATTTCCAGTTTGATATTTAATTTCTGTGTTTGATTGTTTATGATTGTTGACATTGAATTTGCATTGCTGCAACCCCAAACGATAACAATTTTCAGAGTGAAAAAGTATAATTTGCATCTTTGGTTTCATCATTTATCTCTTCCCAAAACTCACCTCTTTCCAAAAGTCACTACGCCGCAGGTTGATATATATAACTTGATAGTAGTAGCATGCTGTGTAATGCACAATTCAGACTTGTCACCATATTTAAATTATTCTCTGGCCTTTATTTTAGTAACCATGTTTTATGGATATCTCTCTGCAATAGCCTAATAATTTTGTTCGAATTAATTTGGAAGTGATTTTGAGGTGGTTGTTGTTTCAAAAATAGAATTTATTTAGGGTCTATAATTGATTCTATTAAATGTTAGAATTTATGGTACTGGGTTTAAATGTTATTTTTACATTGAAAATTGTTATTGAGAAATGGTATGCTGACACCATTATTTACACCTACACCATAATTGAATGGACAAATCTATTTTTTAAATAATGTATTTTGTTTTGAATGCTTTTCGCAAAAAGTTTCTTTGTTATAAATTACGTTGTATGAAATATTAGTGTTTCTTTGTTATAAATTACGTTGTATGAAATATTAGTGTTTCTTTGTTATAATTTACTTTGTATGAAATATTAGTGTCAAAATAGCATGACTTTTTAACTTATCAGACTCAAAATAACATGGCTCTTCACTTAAATGACAATCTATTTTCCCATCTAAATGCGTGTTTGTAGAATTGATATATATTTGGATAAAATAATATAAAAGGTGATTGTAACTTGGATAAAATAATATAAAAGGTGATTGTAACTTGGATAAAATAATATAAAAGGTGATTGTAACAAATAATATTGAGGTGATTGTAACAAATAAAATAGAGTTAATTCTATATAGAAATAATTTTTACTAACCTAATAAGATAGTAATAGTAGTTTCTAAGAGAATTGCATTTGGAGGAGAAGAATTAATTTTGGAAAAAAACTCAAACAAAAAAAAAAAAAAAATCAATTTTCACATTGAAGTGGACCAAAAATGCTCAAAGCCAATCCAAAGATGCTTTTAGTATACAAAAGCTCAACTTAATCACTTCACTATGATTTAGGGAGAGTAAACTACATTAACAATGATTAAAACTCTTTAGAGTTGAAAGTGTATTTTATTCTGTTGCTTTATGGTTGAAACTCTTTTCCTGAATTCCAGATGAATTGGTTCCTAACCAAACCCTCTCCTTTAGGCGTAAAAGGACCATTTTCAGAAAATGCACCAACACCAAGAGAATAACAACCGGGCCCTTCAAAGACACCAACATGGTATCTGGTGTTCGTGTCTGTGTCGATATACAACATGGTGTCTGGTATTCGTGTTTGTATTTGTGTTAGTATTTAATATGGTGTATGGTGTTCGTGTTTGTGTCTATGTTAGAATATGGTGGATTCATCGCTACTTAGAATATGGTTGGATTCATCGCCGCCTTAGGCGAAGGAGGAGAGATGACAGGATTACATTAATAGTTTGGAAGTGGATGGTAGCATATAACTTTGACCAAAACACTAACAGTTGTACAGGAACTCAATCGAACTGTGTATAGATTCCATGGCACTGAATGGTGAGGCATTGACACTAACACTAACAGCAGCAACGTCTCAAACGATTGATTCCAACCTATGTCGACAATGTCTCTCTCACGTTTTACTCTAAAGCCGTATCTTTTCTCTTTTGGAGCTTGAACCAGGAATGATGAACAAGGTCAACAAACTCATGCTCCTCAAATTGGCTTGGTTCATCAGCTAGCTATGTTTGTAATGTGCTTCTTCAGTTTTTCAACCTTAGTTCAATGATGGCTAAGTTCAATGGAGGAAAGAAAATGTGTTCTGATTCTGATTCAAGAATGCGGATGGCATTATAGTAAATTCATTTGAAAGACATATAAATTTTTAGTAATTTATCGAAACTTAGCTCGACTCAACCTATTCTCCCTACTACCTACATGTAACCAACTCCAATTAGTGAAAGACAATTTACCGAACACTTAGTGTGCAAGTTGTAAAACGGTGGAAACAACAACAATTCGATACCGATTCGTAAACCACAACCTGCAACATACCCATCATAAATTGATAAATTGGACGAATGATCAAATACAATAAATTTTTATGTTTACTAATAGACCAAACACACGATAGATTAGATTTAAGCTTTAAAATTTTTAATAAGTCTGACTCAAACTTATCAAAACTTAGTTCGACTCAACCTATTCTCCCTACTACCTACATGTAACCAACTCTAATTAATGAAATAAATATTTAGTTGTTCTTATAACCAACATTGAATTATTTACCATTTCAAAGTTGTTTAGTGGAAATCACAATGTACATGGTACATCATCTTTTCTCTAAACCTATGGCTTTTACTAACTGCAGAATAATTTTTAGAGATTAAAAAGTAATGTGTATTAAATAAGATATCAAAATGAAACTTTAAATTAAACTAAGAGATAAATGCATTAAGCCAAAAAATATTTAAAAATAAATGATATAATAGTAGTTTCTTTAAAGAAAAATTGTAAAACAAGAGTATGTAGAGTAGACAAGCGAAGAATTGTTGGGACACGAATACAATACAATGCTTCAGACATTTGCAAAACTCATCCGCACAACAACACTCTCAAAATCAAAACCAATTCTCCACCACCACAAAACCCTAACCACCGCCACAACTACCACCTCAAAAGATGAATACTTCGCCGCAATCCAACACGTGGCAAACATTGTCCGTCGCGACTTCTACTTGGAACGAACCCTCAACAAACTCCGCATTACAATCACACCGGAACTCGTCTTCCGTGTCCTCCGCGCCTGTTCCTCTTCCCCAATCGAATCCCTCCGTTTTTTCAATTGGGCTCAATCCCACCATCATCACCCTACCTACATCCCAACCTCCGTCGAATTCGAAGAAATCGTCACCATTCTTGCAAACTCCAACAATTACCAAACCATGTGGTCAATCATTCACCAAATGACTCACCACCACCACCTCTCCCTTTCCCCATCCGCCGTCTCCTCCTTAATCGAATCCTACGGCCGCCACCGCCATATCGACCAATCAGTTCAGCTTTTCAACAAATGCAAAATCTTCAACTGTCCTCAGAATCTTCAGCTATACAACTCCCTCCTCTTTGCCCTCTGCGAATCTAAACTCTTCCACGCCGCCTACTCCCTCATCCGCCGCATGCTTCGTAAAGGTATCAACCCTGATAAACGTACATACGCGCTTCTCGTCAACGCGTGGTGTTCAAGCGGCAAAATGCGCGAAGCTCAACAGTTTCTTAAAGAAATGAGTGATAAAGGGTTTACACCTCCTGTCAGAGGCCGTGATCTTCTCATTGAAGGCCTGCTAAACGCAGGCTACATCGAATCGGCTAAAGGAATGGTGAGGAAGATGGTGAAGGAAGGAATCATCCCTGATGTGGGAACATTCAATGCATTAATGGAATCAACTTGTAAATGCGGGGAAGAAGAAGTTAAGTTTTGTGTTGAGCTTTATCATGAGCTATGTAAATTAGGAATGGTTCCTGATGTTAATACTTACAAGATTTTGGTACCTGCGGTTTCGAAAATTGGGTTAATGGATGAGGCTTTTAGGTTGTTGAATAATTTTAGTGAGGAAGGTAGTCGTCCATTTCCTAGTTTGTATGCACCTGTTATGAAGGCTTTGTTTAAGAGGGGTCAATTTGATGATGCTTTTTGCTTTTTTGCTGATATGAAAGCAAAGGGTCATCCTCCTAATCGACCCCTTTATACCATGCTTATTACTATGTGTGGTCGTGGTGGAAGGTTTGTTGATGCGGCTAACTATCTTTTTGAAATGACTGAGATTGGTTTTGTACCTATATCTCGATGCTTTGATATGGTTACTGATGGATTGAAGAATTGTGGTAAGCATGATTTGGCTAAGAGAGTGCAACAACTTGAAGTCTCTATTCGTGGGGTTTGAAGTTTGATATATTCAATTCCAATGGCAATTTTGATCCGTTGTCTTACCGGAAAGGGAAGAATGCCTTCATTGTTAAGCATAGTAGACTAACTGTAATGCATCCATATATTGGGTCAATCAATGTCCTGAGAAAACTTGACCGAATAGCTTTTGAAATATATACATGCATGGAAAGAGAAAGCCATTTTTTCCATGGGATTGTGGATTTTTACGCGTTTGGCATTGTTCTTCGTGCGTGTTCGGGGTTGGCTGCAGTGAACCATGGGAAGGAGGTTCATTGTAAATATGTGAGGAATGGTGGTTGGAAAGATGTTATAATTGAGTCTGCATTAGTTGATTTGTATGCAAAATGTGGTATGGTTGATTTTGCACGTACGGTGTTTGCGCATATGGAGGTTAGGAATTTGATCACGTGGAACTCGATGATCAGTGGGTTTGCGCAGAATGGAAGAGGGGTTGAGGCGTTGGCATTGTTTGAGGATATGATTAAGGAAGAGATTAAACCTGATTCCATCACTTTTGTTGCGGTTCTCTTTGCTTGTAGTCATGCGGGTTTGGTTGATGAAGGGAGGAGGTTTTTTGCCTTGATGGGGGAATATGGGATTAAGCCTGTTGTGGAACATTATAATTGCATGATTGATCTTTTGGGGCGTGCTGAGTTTATTGAGGAGGCTGAGTGTTTGTTGCATGATTGAATTTCACAGAAGAAGACTCATGAGAGTATCAACAACAGGCTCACTCTTGTCATGAAGAGTGGCAAATATACCCTAGGTTACAAAACCGTTCTCAAGTCCCTAAGGAGTTCAAAGGGTAACTTTTTCCTTCATGTTTATTTTTGAATTTGATTTTTTTATCAGTTTTTATGTTGATTTGTTAGTGGAATTAAGAGGTAAGTGAGTATGTTTTTAATTTGATTATTTTGTAGGAAAGTTGATTATCATTGCTAACAACTGTCCTCCTTTGGGGAAATCTGAAATTGAATACTATGCCATGTTGGCTAAGGTTGGGGTACATCACTACAACGGAAGTAAGTTACCATTTTTCAATGTTAATGCACATTTAGTGATTGTTCACAGTTTTTCAGAATGCTATTTTATCACATGAGTATGTTTTGATTGATGGTATATATTGTAATGTAGTGACCCTAAATGAATAGACTTGTTAGGTTTAAATCCTATCACACCAATACCAATATATTGTCAATTGTCTCAAATATTGGACGTCTATTAATAAAATTGATAATCATGTAAGAATGTAAGACTAGTATGCATAATTCAAAAGAATGAATGTGATCCATCAAACCTTGTGGGTATAGTAGTTTCTATCAACTTAGTTTTCCGGTGTCTGGTTATTGAATCATTCAATCTAATCTTTCAATGCTGTTGTAAACATTTGTTTTATTTTATAAGCTTTTGTTTTTTGTTTGTTATAACTTGTAATAATCATAGTAGTTGGAAATGGGACTAATTTTAAATTGGCCATTGAGTTTTCCAAACACGGTTCTGGTAATCTTGCATACTCACATGATTCTGAACTTGTAGCATTTTGTTACTCTCCATTGTTCTACTGTTTTTTCCCCCCTAAATAATGCATAATTATAGATATGCTACTGCTTGACAACCTTTGACCTGCCCTTGTTTCTCTTAGTCTTGGCAACCTTTGACCTACACTTGCTGCTACTCTTAGTATTGATAAACTTTGACATACACTGATTACTCTTAATAGTATTGAGCTTTTGTTTTTTGTTTGTTATAACTTGTAATAATCATAGTAGTTGGAAATGGGACTAATTTTAAATTGGCCATTGAGTTTTCCAAACACGGTTCTGGTAATCTTGCATACTCACATGATTCTGAACTTGTAGCATTTTGTTACTCTCCATTGTTCTACTGTTTTTCCCCCCCTAAATAATGCATAATTATAGATATGCTACTGCTTGACAACCTTTGACCTGCCCTTGTTTCTCTTAGTCTTGGCAACCTTTGACCTACACTTGCTGCTACTCTTAGTATTGACAAACTTTGACATACACTGATTACTCTTAATAGTATTGAATTTAGCTGTCTAATGCGTTGATCTGGTTGAATTTATTGGTTAACTCTCTATTTTGGTATTATGCACAAATATTTTGATTGATCTTTCATTGACAAATTTTACTCTTTTAATTAGACAATGTTGATTTGGGTACTGCATGTGGAAAGTACTACAGAGTGTGCTGCCTGAGCATTGTTGATCCTGGTATTTGAAGCTTTCCTTAACTATTTCAATAATATTAGAACTCGTATTCTGTAATTATTTTCAATATTCTAATTTTATTTGTTTTCTGATTTCAGGTGATTATGACATCATTAAGTCAATTCCTGGTGACCAGTAAAGTAGTTAGACATTTCAATGGTGTTTTCTATTCTCAGCTTTCTAGACATTGTTGAAAGAATTTCTAGTTGTAAACTTTGTACAATGCCTCATATTTTCTGATATTGAGATGATTTGAGCATTGAGTAATTTTGTCTATGCAATTTTTGTTTCATTGTGCTGATTTCTACTATAGATAATATTTCCAGTTTGATATTTAATTTCTGTGTTTGATTGCTTATGATTGTTGACATTGAAATTGAATTGCAACCCCAAAAAATAACAACTTTTAGAGTAAAAAAGTTTAATTTGCATCTTTGAATTCATCATTTATCTCTTCCCAAAACTCACCTCTTTCCAAAAGTCACTACGCCGCATCTAGATATCTATAACTTTTGATAGTAGTAACATGCTGTAATGCACAATTTAGACTTGTCACCACATTTAAATAATTCTCAGGTTTGTATTTTAGTAACTATGTTTTATGGATATCTCTCTGCCATAGCCCAATAATTTTGCTAGAATTAATTCGGAAGTGATTTTGAGGCGGTTGGTGTTTCAAAAATAGAATTGAATTTGGGTCTATAATTGATTCTATTAATTGTTAGAATTTATAGTATCTGTGTTTTACAATGAAATTTTTTATTCAATTTGCTTTTACTTAAGAGAAATGATATGTTGACACCATTGTTTACACAACACCCTAATTGAACACATACAACAATGCACAAATCCATTTTTTAAATAATGAATTTTGTTTTGAATGCTGTTCACAAAAAAAGTTTTCTTTGTTATAAATTACGTTGTATCAAATATTAGTGTCAAAATAGCATGGCTCTTTTAACTTATCAGACTCAAAATAACATGGCTCTTTACTTAAATGACAATCTATTTTTCAATCTAAGTGCGTGTTTGTAGAATTGATATATATATATATATATATATATATATATATATATATATATATATATATATATATATATATATATATATATATATATATATATATATATATATATATATATATATATATATATATATATATATATATATATATATATATATATATATATATATATATATATATATATATATATATATATATATATATATATATATATATATATATATATATATATATTTGGATAAAATAATATAAAAGTAGTATTTGTTATCAATTAATGTAACCAATAATATAGAGGTGATTGTAACAAATAGAATTGAGTTAATTCTATATAGAAATAATTTTTACTAACCAAAAAAGATTGTATTAGTTAGGGATGCTCAAATTAACCGGTTTGATGGTTTATCTATAATCATATCCGAATTCGATTTTCAAAAATCGGTTAATTTTATTTTGGTTTTTCAACCAATCCATTTTTAAAATTAGTTGGACACCCAAATCCAATTGAATGGATAACCACAACCAAATAAAAATCCAGAAGAAACCCAATTGCAATTTTCTCTTCTCCTCTCTGATAGAAGATAGTGTGCTTCTCTCTCAATCCCATTCCCATTGTGAAACCCTAGTTTTAACTTAAACGAGTCTCAGTTCTTCTCTCTCAATTGATGTATTCTTTGTTCCTCTCTCTCAATCTCAATCGATGTATTCTTTCTTCTTTTTTCAATCTCATTGGAAAATCCTAATCATCCTCCTTTTCAACTCAGGTAAATGCATTTACGTTCCTTGTATTTCAATTGTTCCATTTTTTGAATTTTATGTTTGATATGTGTTCTATTTTCGATTTTGTTACTTATATTTTAACCATTCCATTTTCGATTATCATGAATTGCAGAACCTTGATTATTAGTTGCTAGTTGCTGTTATTTTTGTGTGTTTGAGGAAGAATCCCTATTAAATATTGTAAAATGAATGCTATTTTATTCAGTAATGGATAATCTTGCTTCTGTTCTATTTTTGAGCCATATATTTTATTTTGTTATGCGTATTCTAGATGTTAAGATGTCCCATTCTCTGTGAGGTATGAGTGATATGATTCTCTACCTTCATCCGGAATTTGGAGTGAAGAGAAATTTGGATTTAGATGGAAACCGGCGGCTATTGGATATGGATGTGGAATGGTGTTTGGAATAGGACTTGGATGTTGTGTGTTGTTAACAAGAAAGCCTAGATGGCTCATGATGATGGTTGGATGTCAACCTAAGAAAAGAGTGACAAGGAGGACAAGAGTAAGGAGAACTCATGGTTCAACCATTAATTAGATGATTTTAGTGTGACGGTTTTATTGTTGTGATTATTTTCCCTTCTGTTTTGCCTAATGTCAAGAAACAGTTTAGGTGTGTGTGACAAACCTGTCATTCTTATTTGATCTAGTTTGAGTTTGAGTTGCAAGCTTGTATAGTAAATGTACTATGCTATATGTAGGCAGTGTTATTGATAAATAAAAATGCATGTTGTTTCCTTTTTGTTTGTTACTATTTTGTATGATTGATCTGCTACCATAACTGCATACCAGGACTAATTGTTAGTTACTGTGGATATCAGTTACATGAGTAAATAGGTACTAGAATTCTCTTTTTCTAACTAACTCCATTACTTATATTAAAGCTTGGATTTGGATTTGTTAATAAAAAACCTGCATTCATGCATGACAGGATTTTCCCACCTTGCTAAGGATTAACTGACACATATTGCCCATTCGAGTATTCACCACAACCATAAAGGTCTAGTCTCTCTGTTCTAATCACTTGACAACTTTTTCATCTATCCACCAAGTTTTCTAATTACTATATGTAGTTGAGAACAGCCTTTGAAATGAATCACAAACAATTTAGAACTCAATCTCTTCATTGGACTCCATCGCGGGATATCTTGAACTGTTCTCATTTCCTATTGATTCATATTCATATGTATGTTAGTACTTGGAGCGAGACACTAGTAATGTTACTTCCCTGTACGTCGAACATAGTACCCACTCCTTATATTTACAAAAGTCATGTGAATTGTCCAAGCATTAGCAACTGTGAAAAATACTTTACTTTTACTTTTATTATTCTATGGTGTTATACACTATGCTTTTAGTAATTTTTATTAATTTCTTATTCCTTTGAATTAATTTAACATTTGGTTGTTCTATCAAAAGCAAGAAATGCCCAAACATAATAATCTTATGATGGATGAGACAACACAAAACTCGGGAACTACTTTTACTCGGGCACCACCCCATCGAAGAAACAAATCTTCTGTTTGGAACCACTTCACTTCTGATCCAGATTTGATTGGAATAGCTAGATGCAACTACTGTGACTCTAAGTTAAAGTCCAATAATGGAACGACTTCCATGACTGGACATTCAAAGATATATGTCTAAGTAGTTATAATTCTAATTGGTGGGTCTGTTAGTATTATTAGCATTTGAAAACATGTTAAAACTGCATGTTAAACTATTTGGATTGGTTAGTGATTATTTGTTGAACTAGAACAGCACCTGATGATGTCAATAACACCTGAAGATAAGTGGAAATTCTGTAATAAAATAGAACAGTCCTTCAACTCCAAAAAATTGCTCGATCCGTCTTCGAAATCAGGAATAGAAGATTTCCAAACTGTCATTTAAAAGTTGCAGCAACTGTTAAGAAAGGATGAGTGCAGGAAGAAAACAACCTTGGAAATAAAGCCTTCAAATACTGGCCCTCCACCCAATTTCTATGCCAGAAGGAATAATCCTGCCATCACTGATATTATTTTTGTTGTTCTGAATTTCTATTCGTGTTTCTGCTTGAATGAAAACAAAATAGTTGTATATGGATGTGTTTGCAATGTTAGTAGTAGAAGTTTATTGTTGAACTAGTAGAAGTTACTACTAAACTAATTCTGCATATTTGTAAGGAAATATTTACGTTTTACTGTTTGAATCTCGGTCCATGTAAGATCAAAGGTGAAAATTCCACTTTTTGGTTGAATTTCTTGGACAATGGTAGATGGTGAATTTAGTTATTGCAGTGCTTTGTAATGGTAGATGGTGAATTAATTCAAAAACCGATTTTAGTTGAAAAACCGATTGTTAAAAATGAATGTCCAGTTTTAAAAACTGGAGTTTTATATTCAAATCCGGTTTTAAGTTGAAAACCGGATATGAACTCTAAAACCGGATATAAAATTTGGTTATGAATATAATCGGTTTATAATTGGTTTTGTAAAAACAAAACCATTTATATGGATTGGTTATTATAACCGGTTAAAATAAATGGTTTTGTTTTGGATATGAATGGGTTTAGTGAATAAACCAACCATGAGCATCCCTATCCCCAGGGTTACCTTCTCTATGATTAGAGTTGAGACTCAACAACCAACTTATGCTCCGAAGTTAAGTGTTTCTGCATTTTGTCTTTCTTAATACACATGTAGTCCTTTATTTGTTTAACATTTAATCTTCTATTAACTTCAGTATTCTCGGGTTCCTTGTTTTTCTTTTCACTCTCCCTTTGCTATCTATTATGCAGATAAGTCTTCACACATTCCTTACTTTGAGTAAGCCATTTCTTATTAAATCGCTAACCAAGCCTCATTCATTGTTTCCCAGTTTAGGTCTCTCATTCTAGAAGGTGCTCAAGGAGTTGGTCCTTTTGTTAACATCTTTGAATTTCTTCATGGCCTGGAAAGCTGTATTTATGATCTCTTCAACATATATGTGTCTTTCTTTAAATATAGCTAAAATTCTAACCCTCCATAAACTATCAACTATATTGATGAAAAGGTCTAGACTTTTTTTACTCATCATAGAGACGTTGTCTTTGGTCCAATCCACAAACTCTTGATTGTTACTAGTTGAGAAATTTAAAGTTTACTTGAGAGCCAAACCAAGTGAGTTGAGGCTTCTTGCATCTCATAAAGCTATGATATAGGGATTCCATCCTGCTATTACATATAGGACAAAAAGGTTCACACTTCACCCCTCTCTTGTTATGTTTATCATTAGTAGGAATAATATCATTAATCAATCTCCAAACTAAGATTTTTTGTTTGAGGTAACTTGGCTACTCCAAATTTTCTTCTAAAGA